CGTTTACAGGGGTGTAAAAAGTACTCAAATTATACTTAAAACAACAACAAAAAAACAGATACAGTACAGAAAATTGTACAACTTAAAATTTTACTTATTAAAAAAGGATGACATGTATAGAGGAGAAACTGACTGCAGCCCATGAGGCAGATTCATCAGTCACTCCTGACCAGCTGAAAAACCTCCATGAAAAGACAGAAAAATACAATTTGCAGAACGTGCGAAGAAAAAAATAAAATAAAAGCTTAAGGTTATTCCTAGCATTTGGTGCCATTTGAGTCCTCATGATATAATGTGGTATATTTTGTGTAAAATGGGCTAATACTTAGGGAGAAAGCAGTTATGTGAGAAAACAGCCAAATGATACCAAAAACACTGGTCACTTCCCTGACCCTGGCCGCATCCCTCACTGCTTCCCTGACCCTGGCCCTGGCCGCTTCCCTGACCGCTTCCACTTCCATGGCCGCTTCTCTGGACCTGGCAACTTGCCTGACCTCTTCCCCGTCCACGTGGTTCACTGCATGCAAAGCCACCAGTGGTTGGGCAACATTTCTGTGTTTGACATTTCAAAATGACCAGTAAAGGAATTCTTTTTTTAAATTTCTGATTTGTGTTGTAACTTATCGAGTATGGACACCACAATGTTAATCTTTTTTATGTTGTCATTTATCCGTAATGTTTTAATGTTAAGTGTGATAACATGCTCTTGATTTGTATTAGATTTTTTTTTTCTTTTAAATATCTTATTTAAAATATTTTATTTTTTCATTTTTATATTTCTATTATCTTAAGTTGTTAAAAACTTTTTTATTTTTTATCATAATATTTATATTTAAGTGTATTGTATGTCATTAATTCTTTTGTATTTTTATCATTTTGTATTGTCAAAAATGTTATTTTTCTTAATAAAAGCTGTATGTATGGATTGCCATTTTGTTGTCTATTAGATGTATATATGTAGTCGTTTAATAGCAGTCTATTTGATGACTAGTCTATAAATGGGCTATGGTTAGACGTCTATTAGATTTTCACTGACAGCCCAAATTTAGCCTCGTTTTAGCCTAGACATCTAGGCTATATTTAGTCGTCTAATAGAAGTCTTTTATACGCAAAATTGCTTGCTGGGATGTAAGTATTTTACACTTCAAGGGGTCCAACTATATTTAAAAAACTTATAAAAATGTTTTTAAAGGCCAATAAATGAACTTTTCCCACGACATTCTAATTTATTGAGATGCACCTGTATCTAAAGCGACACAGAGGTGGGTCATTTCATTCCCTACAATCAAATAAAGCAATCAAGTGGCATGTTTCCAAAGTATTTCTGCGAGAAAATAACGGTAAAACAATGTGGAAATAGCGTTACTGCGTACATCAAAAGAGACATCAGCTATAGTTTCTGAAGAAATTATACCATGTTTTTACTATAATAAATATAGTTTAACGATAATGTAATTAAACCATAGCAACCACAAATTTAATATTGAGATTCCATGGTAAACACAGGCCAACGGTCACATTCCTTTGATTCAGCCAGCCGCACAATGTGACGCCGAGAGTAAAATTCTTCAGTCTTCAATCCAGAAATCTGCAGCTGATCCAGTGCAGTTCGGTAGCTCAGTGGTTCATTACTGGCATCTCACGGCGCGGCGTCTTTCAGTGCATATTCGAAACCCGTGCCAAACAGACATTTTCATTTAATTTCCGTACTTAAGCCGTACTGACGCTGCTATGGGCGATCATACCAATAATTTGTAATCTTTACAAAAATAACAAAACCATGTAATTAGCAACTGTGCGTTTATTATACAGCTTAATATCACATCAATTTGTGCTTTCAGAATTGGTGAATCTGCTGCGGTCATTCCATCACATCTGGAGCGGAGACCTGAAACAGGAAGTTGGTCACCAGTTAAACCGTAACATCGGCTCCAGCTCCAACTGCAACTCGCGCAACACATTCACATCCACATCAAATGTTAATTCAGCGGTAGAGTTACACTCACGAGACACTGCACTTATTCGCAATTACAAAAGTACATTATTTGCGTGTGCTTCAAAACCTTGCCAGTTAAACGTTTTATTTACTTGCAGCTCTTAAAGCAACAGCACTGAACATGCTGCCTATTGTCATTAAAGGGATAGTTCACCCAAAAATTAAAATTCTGTCATTATTTACTCACTGTCATGTTGTACCAAACCTGTATTAATTTCTTTCTTGTGCTGAACACAAAAGAAGAATTTTGAAGAATGTGGGTAACCAAACAGTTGCTGGTCCCCACTGACTTTGATAGTAGGAAAAAGAAATATGGAAGTCACTGTGGACCAGCAACTGTTTGGTTCCCACATTCTTCAAAATAACTTTTATGTTCAACAGAAGAAAGACACTCATTCAGGTTTAAAACAACTTGAGAGTGAGTAAATGATGACAATCTTCATAATATAACACAAAGAGAAAAATAACTCGCTTCTCTTGACTGAATAACTTTAATACAGTTGCTAAAATTTAGCAGTAATAAAATAACTTGAAATGTGTAACAAATTTTCACATCAGCAGTATCGGTATCGGTATCGATAAAATGTAAACGATACCCATCCCTACAAACATAGGCGTAATTTGCGGGTGGGACGGGTGGGACATGTCCCCACCACTTTTTGCCAGGGTCGATATTGTCCCTACCACTTTTTGAAAGTAATTGAAAAATATATTGCCGAAGGTATGTATTAAAGGGAAAACAAGAACAACAAATCATTCTTCATAATCTAATTAGGGTGATAAAAAACAAACAAAAAAAAAACATTTGACTCCTTACGCATGCATAACTCGTGCAGTGCAATAACGACGCAATTTGCAGCTGTCGCACTTTTCTTAATGTCATTAGGCTATAGCATTTTAGTTTAAAAATGGAGAGCTTCCCTGTGCTAAGTAGGCCTGCCCTCTACTAAAGATTTTTCTAGTCAACTAGTCGCACGTTATATTAAACCGATTAATATAATAATATATTAACCATACTTCAATATAGGCTATAGGCAGACGTATTAGGCTAGAGCCTGTTCCACGCTCAAGCTCGCGCATAAAGCAATTGCCTCAAAACACCGGCAAAGTGATTATGAACATGTCGGGGGAAAAGAAGACATTTTAATTATTTATTAATAAACGAGTGCTTTCTGAGTCAGTGTCAGGTGCAAAGATGAGGTTGCCGAATGCCGACGCTGACTCGCCATCTCCACATGGATGTGCCTTTAATAGAAATGCACCTTTTCATACGGACTACAAAATTAAAGAATATTACAAAATTGAGTGGGCGAGTTTTCCTTATATTTATTTTATTATTCATATAAAAATTATAATAACCCTGTTTTGGTTATATTTACTATTAATTGCAGAAGGTGCGCTCAGCAAAAATGACGCAAATATTGATGGTTTTCACGCTTAAGTAAAGTAAAAGACCGCTTCTTAAACCAGAGAAGGTGAACATGTTGGTATTCTTGTGGAGGAAAAAAAAACATGCAAGCACCGTCACCGGCAGCAAGTTTAGTTTTACTTTTCTTTTTGTTTTGTTTTCATTTTGAAAAGCTTATCTTTGCTGTTTACCTCAC